CACTTGTCCCCCCTTCATCCTTCTGGGTCTCTTTGTCCCTGTTGATCTTAAACGCTCAGATCATGCACTTGTCTCCATCTAGACAACTCTCATAGGACTAAGCGGGCAGTTCTCTCTGTCTCAGGATATCTGCTGAAAAAATCCGCCCACACCGCTTGTCGGTGCAGGGCGTGCTATTGGGGCTTTTGCCAACAGGGACAAAGAGACCCAGAAGGGTGAAAGGGGGATGGATCGAAAATGTAGCTGCTTTGGTCCCTTTCCGATAGAGCTCGGAAGTCCCCTGGGAATTTCAACACAATCACCTTAGGTCTGTGTGTGGTTGTTTGAACCATTGAGACAATCATCAACTTGAAGCGTGAGGCCATAGTTCCCTAGTTGGACTGAAGCGTCGACTGCAGCCAGCTCAGCCTGCTTGGTTTTTGGCATCAGCACATGGGTGTTAAATCTCGGATCATTTGGGCCATCAGTCACCGTGTATTTGTGGCAATATCTCCAAGAACATCCATACTCCATTCGTTCCAACAAATCGATAGTTCCCGTTCAGAAGCGCATTGGGCCAGGTCAAGGCAAAACCTTTGAGAAGCTGGAGGTTTTCGGTCTCTTTCCCAGTGTGGCGTTTCCCAGTGTGCGTGTTGCAACACTTTATAGACTATTCTAGAGAAAAAAATTGTTTTGGTTTCTTTTACCTGTTTTTGATATATTCTCTTGTAAAAAAATACTATATATACTTCAGACATTTGTTTTGAGATGCCGAGATCCTTCGGACATGGATCTGCTGCAGGCTCCGGCCAAACCCTACGGAAAATTGATTGAGGGAGCTGTTGATTTGTTGTGGTCGTGACAAATTTGCATACATTCAAATATACAAATCATCGTAAATACGACCAGGCATGCAGTCAACGCTTGATCAAAGAACAAACGCAAAATCGCAAGCAAAAATAAAGACGAATGTAAACATCGGACACACGCTGCTAGTTTTACCATGTTCCACCAGGCCAACATACATCGCCTGGTCGTACCAGTGGCCGAGCTTGGAAGAGCTTGAACGGCATACCAGTCACGTTGTGAGTAGCTGAAATAGGTTGTGGCCTCACCTGTATGCTTGACCACTTGTGACTTGGCAACGGTGCAAGCAATGGGTTTGGGTGCTTTAGGCCCCTCCGTGAAAATTGCCATTATTGAGGATAGACCTGAAGCCAGATCGGACAAGGAGTGGAAAAAGACATCAAGCTTAACTGGGGCAGGAAATGCTTGAGAGTTATATTTTCTGAACAATTGGCAGTGAAAACTACCATCGCAAGTATATACAATGCTTTTGAAGACCACGACTGCGACGGATTGGTGTTGTAGTCTACCCAAGTCTCTTGAATTAAGCACCAAGTTGGTATGTTCCATTGCAGATGTCTCAATGGCTTTGGCCTTTTTGGTATGCAGGTATGTATTTTGGGTTGTTGTGTGCAGCTCTCTTGACAACACTGCGGTGCTGCACCATCTCCATGAAGACACATTGTATGGTTACAGGCTGGACCATGCTACTTTGTCCACTGGTGTGCATGTCTTCCTGACGCATTTTAGTTGCACCCTGACCGCACGCATGCATGAATTGCATGCCACACGCATGGCATGAACACACACAGCTGGCGCCATTCATCAGCCACGTGCATGGCGGATGAGCTATCGAAATCTCCAAAGGCCCGAAAACGCGCAGGATGTCCAGTCGAATTTGATGTCCCCGGTTTATACATCAAACAACGTCATGTTGCGAATTGTGTGGTCACATGGTGGTGTCAAAGTCAATGAACTACATGTTTTTTGAGCCGAGAACCACCGGTGAAGCACGGCCTTGCACCTGAGGAGGCTTGGAACGCTGATCCCATTCAAAGGCGTGAGTAGCCCTTTTCTTACTGTTATGCTTTTGTGCTTTGCAAATCGGTTATGAAGCAAAACACACAACCAGGTCAAGCCGGCAACCCAACGTTGGCCAAGTTGAGGGAAACACCGGGCAGCCCCCACACGAAGAGTTTGACTAGGTCTTCTAGTGAAAGGCAGTCTAAAGTTGACATGAATGATGTGCCCATCGACCAAGCAGAAAAACACCGTTGATTAAGCAGCAAAACACCAACAGATCAGGCTTGTCCAGTGGAAACCTTCTCCAATTGTCTCTTCCCACCTGTGAACACCGAAGAGAAACACCAAGTGCTCCGCTTCAGACGACGACCAAGTCGCTCTCAAACTTGCTAGGGGAGGCTGCCGAGGCTCAACTGCTGGCCCGGCAACGGCCAGAGAGGCTGGCATGGTTCTAAGTCGTCATTGATTTCACGCAACGCGTTCACAGGCACAATCACAAAGAGCTCCCTAGTAATTGCTACTAATCTACCATTATTTGGTTTCTTTGGGTTCAAGACTTCAGTGGGTTTCCGACCGCTGAGCGGCTGAGCGCTGAGCGCGGGCGTTTGGGACGAGGTTCATTCATGATGCACTCCTACAGCAGCTCCAGCTGGCAGCAGCTGCTGGAAGGTGTGTTCCACATCGATACGATATCAAAAAGTTCCTTGATCAGTTCGATGATTCCTAGTTTGATGATCCTGGACATGTGGAATCAGAGAATAATGAATTGTCTTCCAGATGCCACAATCCATGAAAGAAAGCAAATATGTCCTTCGGAAAGGCTTGGCGTCAATCATCACCTGATTTGTTTGCCCGCAATCGTTTCTGCACAGGTCGTAGATTGATAGTTCAGACATCGCAAAAGTTGGTGTCTGAATATGATTGAATATGTCATGGAGGTTGGTTGTGATGTAGGGCGTAGGAACCAAAATGGACGGCAACAAAAAGATTGTAAATGTGCATGTAAGCAGACAGGCACATGGAAAGGCTACATCCAACCTGAGCACCTTAAGTAAATTGGAGCACTTTTTGAATCATAATCACTCGCCTCGCTGAACTTTCCTTGGTTTTTCTTGGTTGACCTTTGTGTCAACCCTGGGTACTCATGGAGTGCAATGGGTTTCCATGCCGAGAGAGCATGGAAGTTCTCAAAGTGGAACCAGAGCACCTAGCCGCCTTCACTCTTCCTGAAGAGGCGCCCCGAGAGAACACAAAGAATATTCGGATTTCAACGTAACAAGAAGCTACTAGTGGCTAAGGGCATTACTACTTACTAGTCTAGTAACAAGAAGCTATTAGTAGCTATGTGCCACTAAAAGCGTGAAGTGATCCTTTTGGGCCAACAAGTCCCGAGGTGTCCTTTTGTGCCCTTTCAGATGATTCTTCGCGGAGTCCACTCATGTATCGATTCTAATTTTCGAGCTCTCACACCACCAGAGGTCAGGATGGAACATATTGTGACAGGGGACCAGCAGAGTCGTAATGGCCTCCAATCTAATTGAGGTTCCGTACAACACCAGGGGCGAAGTTTGGGCATATGTTCCCTCACAGACTGTTGGCGTAGTTGTTCACAGATCCGCCACTTCAATTCTTTACAAGTGGGTGATACTCAGAGAGTGGGTAAGAGGTTCAAGGGTTATTTATAGACCCTGCTGAAATTGCCTCTCACAATTCAATTTGGGACCTTGGCTTGAGCTACTCAACCTTCTCTAACTGAATTGCCAAGTCAACCTCTAACGAACACATGCAGGCATTGGAGTTTCAGCCAGAGGGTGAAGATGTTCAGAGCTCAGCTCCGCTACACAGAAATATGAGAAGAAAAAAACACCATATTGAAGAACAAAAACAAAAAACGCTACTAGGAACAAGTGCCTCGCTAGTAGTAACAAGTGCCTTACTAGTAACAAGAAGTAAATTAGAATTTTATTAAATTAGAAGGCCTAACAACTTGAACGACCCGACCTGTGGACCGGTGACCGGTTTACCTGTGCAAGTCTGCAGGTCTACCTGCAGCTTAGCTCCGGCATTTTGGAACGTCGACTGCATAGCAACGTGGCGTTCTCGGCAGAGGAGGAGAAAGCCCTGCAGAATCTCAGAACAGAGGCCGGCGACGTTTGACCGTGATCACAGGAGAGCAGGTAGACCCCCTCGACCCACTGACACATGCCACAAGAAATGGCTCCTGTTTTGCAACTCGAGGTATTTGAGAAGAAACATCACCGGTACGTGGTGGTTTTATTAAGTCCTTTAAAGCACAAATCCAGACATAAAGAATGTTCAGGTCATTTTGATATCGGTTTCAGATTCTGCTTCAGGCTCGCCGCACCGGGAAGCGCTTCAGAATTGGCCTCAGCGATGTCTCGGTGTTGTGTTTGCCTTTGTCCAACGGCTCATAGAACAGAAGGAAAAACGAAAAGAAATGAAAGGACAAAGAGCAGTGAAATATGGAGAATGCCATATATGTTCATGTGTTGCTTTCATTCGACTGTAGCGTTTGTTTTTGTCCTGCTGTGAGGCCCAGAGATTTGCCAAGAAGCTACGCGATATTTGAGCGCTACTCGTGGAAACCATCAGAAAGCTTTGAGCTTGATGGAGGCACTTTGGGCAGTTTCTCAATGCTTCAATGTTTGGCCGAGCGAGCGTAGCGGCGTAGCGTGGTTGTCGTTTCCCAATTGTTTCCTGATTGTGCTTCTAGCTCAATTTTTGCAAGAGAAATCTGTTGGTGTGCAGTGTTTAAAGGACGGTTGGATGGCATCAAATTGTTGAACAATTGGCTGGCATATTGGAGTCTGGTTTCACTGTTCAAAACAAGATCTTCATGTTTGTGCTATCTAATCAGCGGAGAGAGTTCAGGACAGCAACGCAATGCAACACATTTGAGGCCACTGAGAACTGGCGGAGATCATATTTTAAGGCTCCGCTGCGTTTGTCATGTCGTTTTAGTGGGACAGGGGTGATTTTTTGGGAATGAGGCTCGTCGTATGTGTTCGCTTGGAGGTTGAAACTTCCCAACAAGGTCTCGTGCATCCAAATACATAGCACAAGGATGCACAAGGGAGGAGGAAGATGTTGGTCCACTTAGTGTGAAAGTGTTTGGTTCCGGTGCTCCCCGCGCGAAGGCATGTGAATCCAAATCGTGTAGGTCCCCCACAATTAGGCAAGTTGCCCAGGGCAAAAAGATCCTTCGTTGTAATTGGTTCCTTCTTGCAGTGATGAGTATCCGTTGTTGTGGAGACGTTGTTCATTTCTTCTTGAATATGTCTTTTCTTATCCCTGGAGGGAAGTCTGGAAAGCGTGTCGCGAAGGTACCCTTTCACCAATAAATGTCTCACGAAGGCTTGCGAAGGCAGATGTGAAGGTATGCTTGCAGTGTATCGGCCCCGTAGGTGTTCATCTTGGAATGGGGCATGTTGACGGCTCTGCTTTTGCTTTCTGTCACGCTGTCCCTCGGGCCAGGATGGGCCTTTGTGTTCGGCAGATTTGGCAGAAGACATGTCGCCATTGGGCAGCATTGTATGTGGCAGCTGAAAGAATACTGGATTTTCTTTTCAGAGCCACCCCTGTTCATTTGAGGGTTCTGAAATGCTGGTCTTTTTTCGTTGTACATTTTTGTACCTTTCATTGCAACATATTGCAACCAACTCATCGTACCCAAGGCATGGCTTTGCGTACTTCGTGGGCCGCGATCGTGCGCTTCGGCCAGCCCTGGTGTTCCGTGCCTTGGATCCCAACGGCATGGAAGTGTTTGAAAGGGTTGTTGGCTACCAGAATGGAGTAACATAGAGTAACGACATTTGAATCAAACAGTTTGCATCCAGGCAGAGATGCCAGAAATAGACAATTAATTAGTTAGATTCATAGGATGCCAATGCCAAGGGCTGTTTGGTTGATGCCGCCACGTTCGCGCAGCACAAGTTCTGCCTATGAGGTGCGTCACGAGTGCCAGAGCAGTGGCGCAAAGACTACGATGTGGATCGGCTGCTGCGGGTCTTAATTTTTTGCATGGAGGCGAAGATGGATCGAGTAGAAACAAGTGCATCGCTACTAGTAACAAGTGCATCGCTACTAGGAGCAAGAGGACGCTACTAGGAATATCTGCTTTTGGGGCAGATGGACTCAGAGAGCGTGAATTTTTGTGTGTGTGACATGTTCTCTGTCTCTCAAGCTGCAATGTCCTTCAAGAGCATCCGACGCATCCCTTTATACGGTGCTTGATATGTTTGTTTCAGCCAAGAAAATCTGAGCCTTGAAGATCTTAATGCGGTTTGGCTGTTGAGGATATTCATGGTACGTGAGTCCGTGCTAGAAGGGGGACTCCCCCAAACCTTACTTGTTGGATGAACATAGACAAACATCGTCGTCGTCATCGTCATCATCATATTGTTTGAGGTTTGTTCTCAATCTTGAGACGGCGCAACTTGAACTCATTTCTCCTGACTCTGGCAGGTGATGCTGCGCTTCATGCTGGTACCAGGTAAAGTTGAAACCTCCTGCTTGATTGTCGACTTGCAAGACATCTCCACCAAGGAGAGATTTTGCCGGGCGCAAGAGAAGTCAAAGTAGGGCCAGTGGCGGGGCAAAGCCTGTGAGCGTAGGTCATGTCGTTGAATCTACAGACGGGAAATCCGCCCTACAGAGGACCAAACCGTTTGCCAGGATATCCCCGGAGAAAAAAGAAAAGGTCCTACTAGTAGTAGCGTCCTTGCTCCTAGTAGTAAGGCCAGGAGCCCCGTTCGTAGCGTCCTTGCTCCGTTCGTAGCGATGCCCTTTGATTCCTAGCGTCCGCCAGGATATCCCCGTGTCCTTGCTCCGGGAGATCCATCAACTCTTCACTGCACACTATCCATGCCGAGGCCCAACACAGTCTCGCGGGCGATTGGTTTCCGCGATTGTCTTTCTCCAGGTTTCCGCTTCTACGTGTGCAACGTGCCACGCATGCTGATGGCCATCTCACACGTGGCAAAGAACCTTCTGACAGAGAGGCCTGCTAACAGCTGTTTGGCAACGGTCAAGGTCTAGTTACTAGTTCATACTAGTTCCCTGTTTTCGTTTGAATATGTTGAATGGTTGATTGATCACAAACTGGAGGTGTCGGACATGTTGACACTGAATACTCAACTTGAATCGTTGGCAACCTCGTTTGGCTGCTTCTCCAATTGAATTCACCTCCGAGATGCAAAAGCACTCCGGCCAGGCAAAAGTTGAAGGTCCGAGTTTTGAGCGATGTATGTGAGCTCTTGGAGGACTTCGCACCACATCAGCTGGAGCTGGACTTAGGCCGACCAAGTGTGTCGGCCATGTTGTGGGCTCAGGTCTTGGTGGTGAAGAAGACACCTGGAATCAGTTGCATGCCTCAATTACTAATAAGAGCGATGGCCTGCAACCTAATAGCCAAAAATATGCCTCAATTCATTCAATGAGATTCATGTCCTCGGTTGAAAAGAAGAATGGCATAGAGAATGGCTAATTATGATCATGTTGAACGGGTCGTCCCGAACCAAATGGAGAACATCTATCTACTAAAGAGAAAAGGAAGCACCGAGCACTCTATGGCCCTATCAACCTACTCAGTTTATCCCGTGGGCAAGGAGGTGGCAACGTCAAGGAGGGTCACTTTGGGGCACATTTCA